AGATAGGTTATATTTCAAATTTGGTGAAGAATCATTTGGACTCGATAACATTATTAGAAATAAGGGGTGTGATATATAGATACTAAGAGAGTTTAAATTTCGATTGAAATATAAAAAAGATGTTCTCAGTGAACATGCTGGTTAAATTTTTTTTAGCCATGTCTTCTTTGAAGATATTTTTTTTATTTGTATACCGTTTTAGCAATTTTTTTACGAAATAAAGAGGGGGTCCTATGGGTTCGCCATTTTTTATTTTTATGTATATCTGACTAAAACTATAATATATAACTAGCAAAGTATTAATTATTTTTTACGAAGTAGGGTATTTGTACCTGGTTATGCCTAATTAAAAATTTGTATGAATTGAGTATGGATTTTCCCCCATTCTTCTATAAGATCATCGAGCCATGCAGTACTCAAACCACTTTTTAGTATACTGCAATGTAATAACTCTTCACCGACTAGTCTCTCACGATCAGTTAAAAATTTACGATATTTTTTAGGGTTTTCTTTTCTTTCTATTCCACCACGATAGAAATGTATATCTCTTTTTCAAATCCCCACAAAAACATCCTGTGGTCCACCTATTTCTCTCAGCATCTGTAATAATCGAAAATTCTTTGAGATTTATTCTATATTCGATGGAATACTGATAAAGGCGGGTTTTGTTTGGATGAATTGGTGAGTTATAAGAGTAATGAGGTTCTACCTCCCAAGGTTTGTTTGATACACTTTCCTGTGAACTCTGTATTGCAACTATAACTTTCTTTTGATCAATACGAAATGGGCAATTAAGAAAATAGTGATAATTTTTACCGAGATAGCTTCAATCGCTCCATATACCTCGATGTGTATGTACCTCTTTGCATACTAGGCATTTAGCTTCTGAATCAGTATATTTAAAAACATCCCGGTGCTATACATTTGAATTAGTATATGATAGAAAAGGAAAACGTTTATGTACGGTTTTAATAATCACATCTTTTTCATCCGGAAATTTAAAAATCTTGGTAATACAGTCTCGTGAAATACAATTACTAGCATCTTCTTCAATTTGGGAGGATCTAGAAGTTTCAGAGTTTATCCAGGGATCAAGTTCAGTTTTATTCTTATATCTTTTATATAACCTAGAATGAATTTTATCTGTCAAAATGCTTGGCAATTCTATCAATGTAGCTTCCCACTCTAAATATTCAGGAGTTAATGTTTTATTGGCCTTTGCCAGCATATTCATATTCCTGTTTTATATGGTCGCACATCTCTTTAAATTAACAATAACTATCAAAAAATAAACATGCCTCAGAGAGACACCCCCTTTTCCTCTCTAGTTCAAAAAAAGATAAATGATGTAATAAGAAAAATAGATGCCGACACATATTAATGATATATTCCTATTTTCCTGGCTTCGAAAGATGCAATCACGAGAAGGCAGGTTCATGCTGTCACCTCAATTTCAATTCCATGCTGTTCACATTTAATATAATAGGATCCATCTTCATATCTGCCTTCTATATCTTCCTCATCCTCATGATCTAACTTGCATAGCAGGCATAAAGATTCATCAGTAATTCCATAATAATCATTATATTCATAATATATATCGGGATATTGATCTAATACTTTCTTACGAAAACTTGTATGGTTATGAATTGACTTGGATATAGATATAGGTGTGGTGCCTATCTGTAATGTGGGTAATGGGTTGATCTAAGTTTTCGATAGAACCTTCTCTTCGAGTTGAGATTTGGCTGGTGCATATAGGGTGTCAATAACATTGAAAAGGTACAGTTTGGCGTGATTTGGGTGATGTATCTACCTTGATTTTTGATGCCCCACATTCTATTCCTTCTGATTCAGAGACTTGAGACTTGGTTAACACATTTACTTTAGCTTAAGTACTCACCTCAGTTTTTGTCTAATCGTGAACGGTGTTCACGGTTTTTGATACTGTCACACCTACTTGATCTATAATATACTGGATTTGAAGGTTAATAAGTCTTGAAATAGTATCAGCACTGTAGGTAACACAATTAACCATGTGCCACCCTATACCTTTATTCTTTTTTAAAGTCACAGGATCATAATCATATTCAAACAACTTATTAATTTTTCTTGCTTTGCTTGTTATCTTGCATAAATACTCATCAGTAATGCCTGTAAGGTATGGTCTCATTTTATTATAAATTTGAGCTCTTGCAGTTTTATCCTTAAGATTTTTGTCTTTAGATCTAAGTTCTATAATCTTATCTTCAAATTTTTCAGAATAACGACCCCAGGATGAAATTTCTTCCCGTTTAATTTTGATAGATTTTTTTGTCACTTTACATGCTTGATACAACAAATGAGCAAGCTCAACTGTACCAGATGGAGAATCTGAGGGTTCGCTGTTAATAAATTCAATATTATCTTCTATAGAATTTACTAAAAATCCTTGTAACAAACCTTACACAATTTCGGTCACTAAACTTGAATCCTTAATATATTTTTCGGGCACATTTTGCACAGACTCTGGTATAATTTTTTCTCAATCGTGAACATTGTTTATGGTTTTTATATTACATAGTGGTTTGGACGAAATTGGCTCTACTAAAAAAATATTGTCCAAAGTTGTGTTTTGATCTTGGAACGTCTCTCTGTTCCTTTGTCTCATTATATTACTAACTCTCTTCTTATTTTCCAAATCTATGAATTTGTCGATCTTTTTTTCTTCTAATGATTTTAGTTTGACTGAGTCAGGAATCTGAGATTCTGAGCTTTGCTTAATTTCTCTGAGGTTAGATATAATAAAAGTTGTATTTATTACCTGTTTAGAGATATTGTCGAGACCTGATTCGGAAGAAATAGTGCTTTGTACCTGTTTTGGATCTATAGAGCCTGTGCTGTTTTCTTCATTGGGGTGGGTTTCAATAATTGAAACAGGTGATTGAGAAATGTTAGTATTCTTTTGTAAAGTGATATCTGAATTATGGTTTTCGATTTGAAAGGTAGATTCGCATTCTTCTGTCAAGAATTGTAAATCCCGCTTCTTGAATTCTTGTTCTAAATTTGCAACTCTGCCCTTAAGCTCAGCATTTTCTGTCTGGCTTTGTCTCGCACTCTCAGCATGTTTCTTTGCAGATCGTTCTAATTCCGCAATTCTAGTATTAAGCTCTGCATCTCTTAATTTCGCATGCGAATCTTTTTCCTCTATAATTTGTTTCAGTTAAGCATTCTTGGCTAAGAGTTTTGCATTTTCCTGTCTTAATAAATCTAGTTCGGATTGCATAGTTCGATAATAATTTTTATATAAGACACAATTTATTTAAATTATTGAGTTAAAAAAAACATGACAAAACTGTGAACAATGAAATTCTATGCATATTGTTATATATACATCAGCAAAAATATATATGCGTAAACTTTTGTAAGTTTTTATGGTGCATAAGAAAATCGTAAACTTATGTAAAATTTAGCGTAAAACTACGTAAATTTTACGGTGTGTAAGAAAATCGTAAATTTATATAAAAATTTTACGTAAATTTACGAGTTTCTTACAAACTGTAAGATTTACGTAAACCAACATAAAATTTTTACGTAAATTTACGTAAATCTCACGCACCATAAAAACTTACGAAAATTTACGGAAGTATATAAAAATTTATAAATCCTAAAATTTAAATCTCAAGAAAA